GGGGAGCGAGGCAACATCCTGATTGGACTGGAGGTAGGGGAAGAGACACTTACGGTGCGATGCTGGAGTCTCAGACATTGAGAGAGAATTAAATAGGATGCAGCATGTGAAGGAGAAATCTTTTGCTCACTCAGTCTTGTAATCACAATCAAGCCACTGATGCGGAAGCCGAGCAGGTTCAGGGGCTCTTGGAAAACAAAGTGCTTTTGTTTGTCAAATAGAATGAAAGAATTATAAGGGGGCGGATAGGAAAAGAGATCCCATTTTCTCAGTGTAATTCAGCAGTGTGTGGTGGCTTTTCTGAAGTGTGAGCACGATGAAACAATTTTCATCAAAGTGATTTAAGTTTCCATGCACCTCACTGGGTATTTAACCAATTCCTTACGGAGGTGTGCAAGTGGTGTCACCCCCATTTTAAAGATGCAGGAACCAGGGCACAGAGAGGTGAAGCAACTTGCCCAGAATCATGCGAAGAGTCAGAAGCAGAATCGAGAAAGGAACCCAGGTTTTCTGATTCCTGCTCCCGAACAATGGGCCATTCTGCTTCTCCAAATGTAAAACCCATGCTGAAGAGCAGTGTAGACTCTAACCACATTCCTGGCTGGGGCTCTAGGACAGAGGTTCTCAACCTTTCCTGACTACTGTACCCCTTTCAGGAGTCGGATTTGTCTTGCATACCCCAAATTTCACCTCACTTAAAAAATGACTTGCTTACAAAATCAGACATAAAAATACACAAGTGTCACAGCACACTTACTGACAAATGGTTTACTGTCTCATTTTTACCATAGAATTATCAAATAAATCAATTGGAATATAAATATTTGTAACACTGGGCCAGAGAGGTTTAAGCAACTAGCAGGCTAAACGATCCAAATTCAACCTTTAAGGACATAATAGAAAAGTATATGAATAGTATTTAGGGCCATTCCTTATAAATAGCTAACAAAGCCATGTTAGATAGACTGGAACGTTGGAATGCAAATATGTATTGTTAGAGAATTGGAAGAAGATAGTGATTGTATTGGTCTGTGTTTACTTATATCTTGTTAGATGTTAACCATGTAACCAAACAGTTCCTGTCTGTTACTATATTCTATTGATTCAGAGCTCAAAAGCTAATATTAACATTTAGATGAAACTTGGGTGTGATAATATCATTGTCTATATTTCTCTTTGAAGTTTGTAGTAAACTGTCTATGAACTGTGTAATGGATAATAACTTGATGCTAATGAATGCAACTAATTACCTGTGTATACATAGGAAATAGGAGGTTTTACTTCAAAGCCACAATGCTTCACCAAAGGAATATCTGCTATCAAGAGGCTATCGACATCCTGCCAGAGATCTATAAAAGAACTCTAGGGCTACAATCCTGTATCTCAGACCTGCTTAGGCTTCGTCAGGGGAAGTTTGAGTCACAAGACTGAGGTCTCCAGCTCCAGTTTGGATCACCCTGATATTGGACACTGGCTGCCTACTTGGACTGTGAACTGTGGCACTGATTCTGAAAGAACTTTTTGCAACTCAGCAGCTCACCATCTCTACTATGAAACTGACCTAAGAACTTGGTTAAAAGATCGTTATATATACGGATATGAACAAATACTCTCTCTTTTCTTTTTGAATAAACTTTAGTTTAGTTAATAAGAATTGGCTGTAAGCGTGTATTTGGGTAAGATCTGAAATTTTCATTGACCTGGTGCTGTATCCAATCCCTTGGGATTGTTAGAACTTTATATATGATTTGACTTGGCTGACTGGGTGGGATCCGAAGGCTGGATTGTTTTCAGGGAACTGTATTTTTGGCTTCTGGGTGACCAGTAAGGTATTGTAGAAGCTGTTTTGTGGCTGGATTGGTGAATTTAATTATTAGAGATAGCCACCAGTTTTGGGGATGTCTGCCCCATTCTTTGCAGGTTGCTCTGATTAATCTGAGTGTGCCCCCCCAGGATCCTGGTCACATTCCTGTACTTATATTTCAGTGTGATACCCGAGCCTGTTTTTCACTTGTGAGCCTTGTCTGAAGCCCAAGACCTGCTGCCGGGGGCTGAAGCATGTAACAGCTTTGCGTGGCCACCTGTGGCATGGGGTCGCAGGCAATTGCCCTCTTGCCACCCCTACTACTTGCAGCCCTGCACTTGCAATCCCCCTAAACCTGTCCCATGACCCGCCCTGGGGGCTGCACCCCCCAGGTTGAGCAACATGGATCTAGATGAGTTGAGTACCCCCTGGAAGACCTCTGAGTACCCCCAGGGGTACATATACCCTTGGCTGAGAACCACTGACCCAAACTATGGGAGAGTTTGGTTCAATCCCCCTTCTGTTTGCTGAGAAGGGATTTAAGCAGCATTCTCCTACATCACAAGTGAATGTCCTAAGTGCTGGACTTTGAGGTAGGGCTCCTTTAGTCTTTCCTGTTGAAGTTGTTCCACTTTAATTAACTATTAATTGAGCCAAAGCAAGCCCTATACCTGGGAGATGGGATTTCCCCATTCAAACCCCTTCTAAAGGTGCAGAGGGAGGAAATCCAAGGATCTCCCACTTCCTAAGCAAGCACCCAACCGCTGGACTATAGAGTGATCCTAGCCCTTCACCTGTCCCAATTCATAGTTAAGGAAAGGGGAACAGCACCAACAGGCAAGACTGAGGGAGCTCCCTGTTCAAATGAAACACCTTTGCTGCTACAGCAGGGATTTCAGCCAAGCAGGCCAACATCCCAGGTAAGTGCTGTGACCACTACACCACAGAGAGCTTCTTAGGCTTAAGTCTTGCTTTGGCCCAATTAACAGATAATTAAAGTGGAACAGCATCAACAAGAAAGCTTCATGGTTGTCAGTTCAGATTGCTTCGCATACAGCCCAGGGAAGAATTGAATCAAGGTCTCTAACCCTTGCAGGGTGTTTACCCTGCCCACTATGCTACCAAGATGAGTTGATGTGCTCCCTGGAAGACCTCTGAGTACCCCCAAGGGTAGACTACCCCCCTGGTTGAGAACCTCTACTCTAGGATATCATCACCACCACCACTCTATTCATAGTCCAAGGAAATTGGTAAAACCCTTTGGAGACGACAGGCACATCTAAACTGCCTCCTTACATTTGCACAGCAAGGCAATGCCAGGAGTAGACCCCAGCAGTCTTGTCTCCCATTCCCTTGCTCTAACTATTGGATAACAATCCCGTCTCAAGACCAGGAACAGACCCCCAGCCTCCTGTTTTAAGCATTAGAAAACATTACCTCTCTCTAGCAGACTGAGAGTTGTGAATGAAGCGTGCACTCTCGTGTGAATCTAGAGGAAAGGTCCAGAACGAACACCACAGCTATCACAGCAGGCTTCAAACCCTTCAATGGCTGATACAATGCCAAGATTCTGCAGTTCACAGGTTATTATAGCATGTTGGCCTTAAAGGGGCACAGGAATACAAAACAGAAGTGTGCAGAAAGAAGATGTCACCCAGCACCACATAGGAATGCGCAGGCAGGATTTTGTACAGATAAATTCCTAGTGCTAGCTGAGGCTAGAGTGACCAGACAGCAAGTGTGAAAAATCGGGACAGGGGTGGGGGGTAATAAGTGCCTATATAAGAAAAAGACCCCAAAATCGGGACTGTCCCTATAAAATCAGGACATCTGGTCACCCCAGCATGCCTCCAGGCAGCTTCCATATTACTTTTCACTCAAACGGAGCAGAGAGCTGGGAAGTGACACAGCATTTGAGGCAGCTTTGGAGGCACATTCCCGAGCAGGCCTGCTCCAAGGAGATATAGACCACACGTTGCCTAAACCCAGGCGTCTTGTATACACTGGGGTTTGCACCAGTGCTAGAGCAATGGGGATTGTTTTCAGAGGAAAGCTTCGTGCAGATACAGCCATTCAGTAACTGGCTTGGGCACCTGCTTTTTTTCTTACATGAAATTGGAAATGGGATTGCTCTTTGCAATGCAAGTATTGACTGTAGCTATACTGAACTATGAGTACTCTAATCTGTGCACGTCAAGTACAGTCTGCATCCTGAAATCCATGTGCCAGGCAGAAGCACAGCGGATCTGAGTATGTTTAGCTAAGAAAGGCATCAGTTTTCTTACTGCAGATTAGGACCAAGGTTTCAACATGGTTCTAAGCAAGGCTCCACATTTACATGAGCAAACTGGATTGACATCTTACTCCTCTGTTTTGCATGTGTAAATGTGGGGGAAGTTGCAAACGTAAAGGCTGCCTTTCAGAATTTGATCCTTATGGACAAGAAGGTGCTGGCAGCAAGAGAACTGTGTGTGTGAGCCGGTGTGTAGGCAGGAGGTCTCACACACATACACACACAACAAAAACGATAGCAATATAATCAAATAACTATACATAAAGATTCTTGTACTGCACATCTCCAGCACCTTTCATCAAAGTAGTTCAAAGCATTTTACAAACATAAATTAATGAAAATAGCATGAAACGCTTTGGGGTTGTACAACTGCCAGTGATTTTTTGCCCTATTACCAAATGTTCTCACCCAGGATCAAGAGGGCACAACCTCCCTTCATCTCCCAGGAAAACAGGCAGAGAGATTAAGGGACTCATTCTACACCAGAGAGGTCATTCCTGTCAAGGCTCGGATTAGAATTCAGGACTTCCTGACTCTCAGATCTGTCCTCAATTTTGGATGTCTCTCATGCTGGCAGATATAGAAATTAATGGGAGATGGAGAGACAGTGAAGCCTTTGAAATGCAGTTGAGAGGCAGGGGTACAAAAGGTGTAAATACATTTCAAATATTTGGAGGAAATTGGCAGACCTGTCCTAGTGTCACGTAAAGATGTTATTTCCCAAAGATTGTCCGAACCTTCCATTACTAAATAAACAGTTTTATTCTTCACTTTATTTAAAGTGCATCTCTTTCTTGCTTAAGTAACATGTGCTTTACTCCTTCTACCACACGTTCTAGCTTGTAAAAGCCTTGCTTCCAATTTGGAGGAGGCCAGAGATTAGCCATGATACTCGGTACTCACGATCCTAGTGCCTCCATGAAGATAAATGTTTTTCGGATGTTGTTGGTCGGTTTCTTCCAGGAACGGGTGTCATCCACTTCCTTGCGGCCCATTTTCTCCAGAGCTGAAGCGGGGAATTCTGCCAGAAAGAGGGGAAGAGCACTGGTTGAGCGGTCAGGTATTCACAGTATCAACAGCAGGAGCCAGTGGTGTGTAAAACTTAAACCTCTGCATAGTGTCCTGCAAAGTACCCATTTGCTTGGATTCTCTTTTCAAGTACTTGTGGCACCTTAGAGACTAACAAATTTATTTATTGTTCATCTCTAAGGTGCCACAAGTACTCTTCGTTCTTTTTGTGGATACAGACTAACACGGCTACCACCCTGAAACCTCTCTTTTAGAGATTTTTGAACATTTCCTTTTGGCTCTGTCAAAGCCAAGATGCAAGGAAGTCAATTTTGCATCCACAAAATAAACTGCTGGTGCAAATCATGTGACTACCAGGTAGAATGATGAAATAATTTTACCCACAATTGCCAGTACAAAAATGCAAGTACAAATGGTACCCCTTTAAAAGGAAAATTGTTTTTCTGAGAATTTGACACAAAATAATCACTCTCCTTGAAAATTACCAGTGCACTCCACTCACAGCCACTAACAAGATGAGACTTCAGGTTCTATTGGATCTTACATATCAAATTGCATCAGATTCCAAATGTGCATTTCAGTTAATATTAGACATCTTGGCTGAGAATTTAGCACTCATATGGTGGGACTTGTCATTTGGGGATATTCATTTAATGACAAATGTGAGCGATTGGCAATTACAAATGTTTATATTTTGCTGAATATATAATGGCTAAAGCTGTGATTATGCTTGCTGGGTGGCTGCTAATGCTAACCTAATAAAGCACCCTTGATATAATGGATTAAAGTTAGATGCAACTGAAGATGCAGGGAGGTTATATTAGAGTTGCTTAATTGCTTGAATATTAAAATAGGTTAAAGAGCTGGTGTTGACTCAAAGGAAATTTACTAAAGATTTTGTTGATCTAGCTAGTATGCGCTGTATCACTTTTCTTTTGTTTTTTTATTACTAGGGATATTTGCATGGAGACTGGATTGTTACTTAGGAATCTCCACCTTTCCTTACTGCTTATTCCTTATGTGGAGTCACCAGCTTGTGACATCACAATGGTGGCTGTAGAGAGAATTGTGATGTCACAAACAGAGGTGGGGTTTTGGTTTTGGTCTTAATTTTGCTTCTGATGGAAGATGTCAGGTTGACAGTGCAGTAGGCTGGTAGCCTGGTACTTATCCATGACCCAGGCACAGCATAGGCAGCAGCTGTCACAGAGCTCAGTCTATTCCCGTTCCACACAACCAGCACAGCAAACAAGCTCTCCTTAAATGTAATGTCTACCCCTCACTGGCTCTCTTTGTTTTCTTTCCATGCTCCTTGGTGAATCAGCAGCTGCCTTAGGAATCACCACACAGAGGACTTCCATTCCATTGTTTCCAGCCCCATCTCAACTCATGAGAACAGTCACATGGGATCTCTTCATTATGGTGGCTACCTGCACATTTGCATGCAAAGTGCAAGGCCTGGGAATGTGAACACATGAGTTTAGAGGACAATTACTGTAAATTTAGTGCAGTGATTCTCAACCTATTTACCACTGTGGGCTGCTTATGCAGCTCTCTGTGTTACGTGGGCCGCATCCACAGAATATGTATACTACCTGTATGGCCCTGAGGATGTCACATGGACCACAGCTGTGTGCTGATTGGGCCACCAGCAGCCCATGGGCCGCGAGTTGAGAACCACAGGTTTAGAGGGACGACAGAGCTGCAGCACCTCATCTTGCTTCTACTCATCTTATTTAATGAACAGAAAGAGGGATCCAACTCGTTACAGGGAAAGTTAGTTAGGTCTCTATGATGATACCCTCTCCTCTTCTGTTGTTACTCTCAGGGGCGGCTCTAGCTTTTTTGCTGCCCCAAGCACGGCAGGCAGGCTGCTTTCGGTGGCATGCCTGCGGGAAGTCCCCGGTCCCGCAGATTCGGTGGCTTGCCTGCAGGAGGTCCGCCGGTCCCACGGCTTTGGCGTACCCGCCGCCGAATTGCCACCGAATCCGCGGGACCGGCGGACCTCCCGCAGGCAAGCCGCTGAAGGCAGCCTGCCTGCCGCCCTCGCAGGGATCGGCAGGGTGCCCCCCGCGGCTTGCCACCCCAGGGACATGCTTGGAGCGCTGGTGCCTGGAGCCGCCGCTGGTTACTCTGCAGTGTGTCAGGAAGGCAGTGTTCTCTAATAGTCAGACCACAGATTTAGGAGTCAGCAGCTCTTGGGTTCTAATCCCAGTTCTACCACTGACTTGCAGGATGGCTGTCGAGCAGTCACGTATACCATCACTTTTACACTTAGGTACCTGGATTTAGGCAAGTTAGCAAAGACTTCAGTGGGAGGTGTGGGCACTCAGCACATTGGAAAATCAGGACACTTATTTAGGTGGCACCCTGAAAATTTGGCCTGAGCCCATGCCACTCTTCTCTGTCTTGATTTCCCCAGCTCACAGGACTGGGACTCAGGAAACCTAGTTCTTATCAGCCACTTGCTGGGCAAGTCACTTCTCCCTGTGCCTCTGTTTTGCCTCCCACCCTTTGTCTGCCCTTGTCTATTTAGACAGTAATATCTTCAGGGCAGAGACTTTGTATAGCACTGCCATAATACAAATAAATAATACCACTACTTACTGGAGCTTACTGACGTGCTATGAGAATTAGTTAATGTTTGTGAAAGGTCTGGAAGGTGTGAAGTGCAGTATAAACTCTACCATGAGTAGAGTTTGCAGAAAAGGATCTGGGGATTACAGGGGACAAGAAGCTGGATATGAGTCAACAGTGTGCCCTTGTTGCCAAGAAGGCCAACGGCATATTGGGCTGTATTAGTAGGAGCATTGCCAGCAGATCAAAGGAAGTGATTATTTCCCTCTATTCGGCACTGGTGAGCCCACACCTGGAGTATTGCATCTAGTTTTGGTCCCCACACTACAGAAGGGATGTGGACAAATTGGAGATAGTCCAGCGGAGGGCAATGAAAATTATTAGGGGGCTGGGGCACATGACTAACGAGGAGCGGCTGAGGGAACTGGGGTTACTTAGGCTGCAGAAGAGAAGAGTGAGGGGGGATTTGATAGCAGCCTTCAGCTACCTCGGGGGG